CTAAAAAAAAAAAAAAACAAATAACCAAACTAGTTCAACTAGCTAAGGTCAATATAACAACTCTTCTAGTAATACTTCTAGTTAGAATAAATAAGTTTTTCAAAAAAATAGTACTAATAGCCTAAAAGAAAATCTAAATCAAAATAATACTAGTATTATATTAAGTTCTAAAACATATAATAAAATTTAAAATACTATAACTCATATAACAACAAAAATAATAGTTCAAATTTATATAACTTATTATTAACAGAATCTAAGATAATGAAAACAAATAACCTTAGTCAAGTTTATTTGCAAATATTAAGAGAAGATAATTAACTTTTTTTTCTTATTTTTCTAAAAATAATATCAAATTAATAAATAAGTCTGGTGATCTTAGTATAGTGGTTAGGTTGCCAAACTGCTATGCAAGAGATCTAGAGTTCAAATCCTACTGTTGACAAATTTGAATAATTACCTAGATCTTTGTACCTAACTTATAGTAAACTCTGTCTATTTCTGAGAGTTACAACCCTGTAAATCACATTGTACTAATATCAATTGGATATTAGAAGTATGACACAATATTTGAGTTACATTACATGAATAAATCTTGATAAGATCTACAAGTAGGGGATCTGCATAGTAGAAATTCTAAGTTTGGTAAAGTAGTACAAATTTCAATAGTCAAGCTAGTTAATGTCTGATCTAGTAAAAAACCTAAGTACAAAGGATGTAAGATCGATAGGTGCAAGTAAGTCTACTGTATAACACAGCCTGGTACCTTGCATTAGTAGCAACACCAACTTGGCTTGGTAGCTAACTAAATTGGGAAAATCTACTTCATGAAACATTTAGCTAAAACTTGAAGGACTATATCTAGCAAATAGTCATAACGGAAACTAGGTTTATATGAATATTGACAAGAATCTAATTCAGATGAATCTGTAAAATAAGTATATAACCACTTTAGTAGAAATTACTTCTGAGGTTAATTAGAGCTTTGCATGCTCACAATATGTTAGGCAAATACATATCTCAAGAGAATCTAAGCTATGCAGTAAATAGATCTGCATATGAGCTAGCTAGTTTAAGCAGTTAGCTATAGTAATAATGTTAGTTTAGGATAAGAGGAAGTGTTAATGATCAAAGTATTTAAATAGGTAACTTACAGACAGGTTGCAGGTATAGTAGCATAGTGTAGAACCAACAGATAGCTGATTGTCTATATGGCAAACTACTTAAATTTGATAATGACTAAAGTTGTATATATAGCTTGTTGTATACTAATCATGTAATTATAAAACCTTAGAAAACTATTAATATGATAGTTTCATAATAACAAACTAATAAAATCTAATCAGCCAAGGAAGTGGTCTTAATAATAAAAAAAATATTAAATTAATAAATAATAATATTCTTATCTTAGATATATAGAATCTTAATAACTCTTTAAATAAAATTATAGTCTTATTATATGAAATAGCAATATATAATATAATTGCTACTAAGCTATATATTAATAAAGATATATGTACTTATCTCAATCTAATATTTGTAAACAAAGAAAAACTCAAATATTATACTACTAAAAGGAATTAAAATCTTTAATAAAATCTATTATAGATATATTCTAACTAATATAAAAAGGTCTTTTATCTTAGTTAAAATTAAAAATATACTTTTAAGCAACAAAGAAGATATCTCTAAAGAAATTAAAAAAGTATTTAAAGATATAAATAAAATCATCCTAATTAAACTTTTTAATTAAAGATACACTCTATTTAACAGACCAATAAATAGTTACTTTTGAGACTACTGATAACTCAGATCTTGAGAAAAGAATTTCATACTTTAAAATTATTTTAGATAACAAAGTTATTACAGAATAGTACTCTACTCTTAAGTTCTACTACTTTTGTAATAAGAAAAGATATATAAAAAAGAAATATTTTCAATATAAAGAAGCCTTATTATTTTATTAGCAGTATAAAAAATTTTTTGTTAATAAAAAAAAGAGCAAAGATATTTATTTTAAATTAAATGATAAAGAAATAAACTAACAAGAACTTATTACTTCTGCTAAAAATATTACAAATAAAAGCTTTTAAATAGAAAAAACTTCCGAAAATAATTTTTCTACAATAAAAAATATAGATTAAAAAAATTCTACTTCAGAAAAGAAGAATATAGAAGCTCTAATAGTCATTGTTCTTTATAGTAACAATAAAGAGAATATTTTAACTGACAATATACAAGTTAAGACAAATATGAAAATTAAAAATTCTAAATCACTAAAGACTCTAATAGTACTTATTATAGATAATAATAAGTTACAATTACAAACTAACAATTTTAAAGAAAGATTTACAACTATCTCTTCAAAAAAAAAAGAACAAAAAAGATTCTTTAGATCAAAAAAAAGAACTAATAAAAGCTATTTCTTATAAAAAAACTTGTAATAGAATACAAAATTCATAAATCTAATTCTGTATTACTCTATACTTTATATAACTGATTAATTCAAACTTAAAATTACAACTCTAAATATTAAGAGATTAAACAATCAATAAAAACAATAGAGTACTCTAACTCTTTTAAAATTCTATAAACTAGATATAATTATATTATATAAAATAAATCTAAATAATAAGAATATACTAAACTTTTTTAAAAACTAATAGATTTTTAATTATATTTAAACAAGTAAAATAACTATATTCATAAGCAACAAAAATATTATATTTAAAGATATAGAAACAGATCTAATTAATAGAGTTATCTTTACAAACTTCATCTACAAAGAGCTTATATTTCAAATCTTCAATATCTATACCTCTCCTAATTCTAATAATAGAAAACTTTTCTTTGAAAAATGATTACCTCAACTTAAAGAAAACTCTATTAATATTATCACAGAAAATTTTAATATTAATTTAGATTTAGAAATAGATAGAACTAGTAAAGTAGCTCTATAACAAGATATAACTAGAGCTTAACTACAAAATCTTATTATATACTTCTTTGATTTTTTTAATTTCACAAAATCTAGACTTTTTCATACCTTTTTTCAAAAAACTTAAGAAAACTATACTATTAAATTATATATTTATTAATGAAAACAATGCATATCTAATCTTACAAATTGATATTAAGTTTGGCAATTTAGATAACCTCTTAATTAAATACATTCTTAACTTTAGTACTAAAAGAAAAAAATCAGCTCTTTGAAGATTCAATAAGAATTGCTTCAAGAATAAAAAACTAAAAAAAGAAATAACTAATAAAATTATTGAATTTGAAAATTTTGGAAATTAGAATTTTTGTAAAATTTATATATAGTTAATTATAAGAGCTTGTAAAAAACTAAAAATAGTAAAAAACAAAATTACAAAATTAAACAAAAATATTATTTAAATTAAGAAAAGATTTGTATATAATTCTGATAATTCTTTTTTATATATCTAAGTAGATAAACTAAGTTTAGATCTCTAAGAAGAACTTATTCAATTTGCAGAAAAATAGTAAATTTGCTTTAAGGCTCAATAGATTAAACAAGAAGAAAAATTAACAAAATATTTCTTCACAAAATATAAAATAAAAAAAGTTTACTTAGCTCTTAAAGATATCAAAGATCCTGAAACATCTTTACAAACTAAAGAGAATACCTTTTAATATATTAGAAACAAATATACTGAAATTTATAAGAAAGAAGATATTAGCTTAAATTTAGTTAAAAAAATTACAGAAGATCTACTACAAACCTTTTTTTTACATAATCAAGAGCTAATACATGAAATTACTTAAGAAGAAATTAGTAATATTATTAGAAATCTTTTTAATAACAAGGCTTTTAATATTGATAGTCTAATATATAAGTTTTATAAACTTACAGAAGAAGCTATAACTCTAGTTCTCTATAGAGTTTTTAACTATACTCTAATATTAGATGTTATACTATCCTTATAATGCAAAAGCTTGATTACTCTAATACTTAAAAAAACTTTGAACTTAGAAAATATTAATAATTAAAAACCTATATCACTAATCAACAGTAATCATTTAACTTTGAATACATGGCAAATTTACATAATTTTTTATCATTTTTATCATTTAAATATTATAATTAAATATTCGATATAATAGTATAGGCCAAACTTCTATAATGTTAGTACACATGAGAAAAATTACAAGAAATCTAATTTACTGAAATTTACATAAAATAATATGAAATATAAGAAGTAATCTTAATTACAGATCAGCTTGACATTTAAAAGTATTTGACTACTATTTGACTACTATTTGACTACTGTTTAACTACTATTTGACTACTATTTGACTACTATTTGACTACTGTTTGACTACTATTTAACTACTATTTGACTAGATAGAAATACTTTGCTAAAATCTTGCATTTTTGCACAAGGCAAATATTAGGCCTATAATAGAATAAAATAGGTCTATTATCAAGCTCGTTAATTGTACTAGTAAGAAACTCGTAGATAACAATTTTAAATTGTAATTGAATAAATTAAAACTTTTATAATACTTATATTGGTCTGACAAAAGGCTTTATTAGAATCATTAAAATATTTAAAATAGATTATAAAGAATTCTTTATTATCTTGTTGATATTATAATTTGCTATCACTATTATTACAAATATTTAAGTAATACAATAGTACTACTACATATATAATATACTATTAATATATATTTCATTGTTCTTTATTTACTTCCATATTTAAAATTTGTGTTTAAACTGCTGTATAAAAAAAGTCATTTTGAATATATTCATAATCTGTAATATCATGTTACTGAAAAGAACATCTTGATTTATAATAGTGAATAAAAGGAATGTTCTGTGATTGTAATACCACAGAAACTGTGTGAATCCGATTCAAAGAATCATTATCTGAATGTTGTATGTGATAAATTAGACAGTCTAACAAAAGATCTTGTTTGTCAAGATATTCCAATCAATCAAAACAGAAAAAAATATATACTTAACTGTCATTCTATAAATGTTTAATAATACTAGTTATTTTACTAAATTTCCATTCATTTTCTCTATGTAGTTTAGCTTCAACTATCTCGCTAACTTCCAACTTTATATTATAATAGTCACTATTTGGGTTAGTTATTGTATATATTACGTTTTCATAAAAATAAACTCGAGTTTTTAGTAGAGCCTGTTCTAGTGAATAATATAATGAGTATGCCTTCATTATATCTTTAAAAAGTCTATTTTTTTCAATGTCTATTGATAAAAATCCTGCAGCTTCAATTTGTTGTCTATTCTATTTTAGGCCTAGTTTTATTTCAGAATTATTAAAAAGTTTGGAATTGGTAATGATAGTTCAATCATCTAAAAAAAAATTAAATATTGTAAAAAAAAAAAAAAAAAAAGTATTTATTTGTATTTATACCTTCATTATTTTGTAATCGATTATTAGAACAGTGTAATGATAAACTGTAATTATTAATACACCATCTGAATAATAAATGATAAGGTCTTGACATTGTAATTAATAGCATAAAAATTGATTGTGTTGAATAATGAGGCATCTGGTCATCTGTTCTACCATCAGCAAGATATCGTAAAGTTTGTAAAGTGTTGACTTGTTGTAATAGAGTAAGTTCAAGGTTATGTTTATTAGTATGCAGAACTATTGCTTTTACTATTCTGTATACTATTTCTTTTGTATCAACTAACGTATTTATACAAGTTGCATATCAACATGCATGGTTTACTAAATGACAGCTTACATGTAGATTAGGAAGATTCTGAAAACTAGTTGGAAAAGCTTATAATAAAATATTATTAATTTTTAATACTGTAATTGAAATTCAAAAAAAAAAAAAAAAAAAATTAAATTAAATTAAATACTTTAATTAAAGCATTCAGTTCATTGTTTAATGCAGTTTGTAAATTAGAATATCCATAAGATCGTTGTATTGTTAAAGAAAATACAACCTTAGCTGCTTTTGCAGAAAGTGTCTAAGTATAGATAATATAATCTTGTACTTCTGATTGATAAGAAAAATGCAACTGATCATGTATAGACTTTAAATAATTATCCTTGATACAGTCAATAGTTAAACATGTTTTAATATAAAAGGAAAGATTATAAGAATTCTTAAATTATCTGACATTATAAACAAATGTCTATGAGTAACTAGGTTTGGTAATTGAGACCATTGTGCAGGAACTTCAATATTTTTCCAGTAACCAATTAAGTTATTTTCTATATACGATGCTAAAATCAAACATGTACAGTCAAGTAAGCAAGCTACTTTACCAGCAATTGTATGGTATGTATCTTGTGGCGTATTTAAATAGTGATCATGCAATAATGGGTCTAATGGTTCAGATAAGGATCTTAATCCATATTGAGAGCAAAGTCTAGATTTTGCATTATTTGAAACTTGAGAATTTATAAGTTAAAACTCTTGACTAGTAATTTGATAATATCTACTATGAAAATATATGTCAAATGAAAGATCAGTTAATTGATCCTTTGATAATTTGCAGGTTCAGCAACCTTTATATGCATTATGGTGCAGTGTTCTAGCGATATCATTCACCTGTAACAAGTTTGCAGTAAACATGCCTAGCTCTCCTGTTATCCAATAACTAGTACTATTCAAATTCATTATAAACCCTTCCTCAAGTTTTTTAATTTCCTCAAGGAAAGGTTTAATAAAGTCTCGAATATCCCCACCAAAAGGTACAAAGCTAATAATAAAATAATTATATAACTGCTTTCTCATTTGACGAGTCATGTTACCAATTTGTAGATAAATATTACCTAATGAATGGTATACATTGCAATAGATACCAAAATCATCATAATATAAATCCAAAAAGAATTTTAGAACTGGTATAGTCAAATTAGATGGTGGATTTATTGATATATATTCTGCTAGATGTTGGTTTCAAAGTTTAATAGAGCGAATCTTTTAATATCCATTAAAATAGTATAAAATTTTATTAATTGATAAGTTGAAAGTTGGTGGTAGTAGTTGATCTTTAAGCCAGACTATAATTTTTTTAAATAAACAAGATAGTTCTATAATATAACAGTTTGGTTCTTCTACTAAAACCCATCTATGCTGAGCTCATTGCATATGTTCTACTGAATATAAGTTTCATAAAATTTGGCTATAAGGAAGTATTTTTTGTATTTGAACTTTCATTGAATTATCTTTAATAACAAATAATTGAATTCGACCATATTCTAAAGAGTCTTGAAAAATAAATTGAACGAAATCACCACAATTAAAAGAACCTAAACAGATATATTTGCATAATATAAATAAATAGTAAGTTACTGTATATATTATCAGGTCTATATATAAATATTTATTTATATTATAGGGGTTATTATTATTAATTAATGCAAGTGTCCTTATTAGTATTGGTTTTAATTAATTACTGTATCTCGTGAAGTTGTTATAGTGGATTGCCTAAAAAGAGGTAACTCCGCCCAAAGACTTCTTTCTCATAATTCCTCACATGATTCTGAAAGAACTCCTAGCCCAAAGTATAATTGTGAATAAATAGCAGGATTTTTTAATAATCATTGAAGATACTCTATTAATGAAAAATAGTAAATATTCATAGATTTTTTTGCTATAAATAGTGTATTTTGAGTATTTTTTTTTTTTTTTCCTTAAGCAGTCACACTAATACTTTATTAGACTTCTTAAAACTATACATTTTTCAGAAGATTTA